TTGACTTTCACATGCAGTATTGATAGATGGGGCAAATATCTACCCTTTGCTTGTAAAGATCCTGCATTAATGGTCTCAATCCAAACACCACTTGGTCCAAATCTATCATATAAAACTGCTCCAAAATAGTAAAATGTTCTGGATCAACCAGAAAAGCAAGCATTGACAATAAAATATCTCAATGGTGCTAAGGATTTTCTATTTTTCATAGTGTGGGAGCAAGTGCCAGTATTTATTGCCCATCCCTAATTACACTTGATTAGGGGTAATCATCATTCGTTATCTAATGTGGTGATGAGCCATATTCTTGAACCACTATGATCCTTGTAGTGAAGGTATACCCTAGTTGGGAAGTTGGATGATTTTGACTCAGCCACTTTGAACGAATGGTGACATAAATCTAAGTCAAACTGGTGTCTGACTTGGAGGAAGCTTCCAAGTGATGGGGTTTCCTTTTGTTTACTGCTGCATTCCTTATAAGTGATGGAGGTTGAGCTCTTGGAAGGTGTAATCAAAAGACTCTGTAGTGCATCTTGTAGATAGTATAGCTGCTGCCATTGTGTTGGTAGCGAAGGGAATGTGTATTGAATGTCATGGCTGAGATGTTGATCAAATGGGCTGCCTTGTCCTGGATTGTGTCAAGCTTCGAATAGCCAAGGTCTTTTCCCTGGGGTAGGGTGTCCAAAACTAGAGGGCATAGGCTTAAGGTCATAGGGGAAAGATTTAAAAGGGACCTAAGGGGCAGTGTTTTCAGGCAGAGTGTGGTGTATGTGTGGAATGAGCTGCCAGAGGAAGTGGTGGAGGCTGGTACGATTACAACATTTAAAAGGAATCTGGATGGGTATATGAATAGGAAGGTTTTAGAGGGATATGGGCTAAGTGCTGGCAAATGGGACGAGATTAATTTAAGATATCTGGTCGGCAAGTACGAGTTGGACCAAAGGGTCTGTTTCCATGCTGTTCAGCTCTATGACTCTGTGACTGCTGAGTGTTGCATCTCCACTCCTGACTTAGTTGATGGGCAGACTTTGGGTAGTCAGGAGATAAGGTGCACTCTTAAAAATTCCCAAACTCCCACATGCTGTACAGCCACTTTACTTATTGGGCTATTGTTTAGATTAGGCACTTCATCAAACATTACTTTGATGTCATTTGTGGAATTCAGCTCCTTTATCGATGCTTGGACCAAGGCAATAATGATACCTGGAAGTGAGTGGTCCTGGCAGAACCCAAACTGAACATTGGTGAACATGTTATTGCTGAGTAAGTGTCACTGATAGCACTGTTCTGGACGCCATTATGTTACCAATGATTGAGAATAGCCTGATGGAGCAGTCATCCAGATTTGGTTTGGTCCTGTGTTTTGTGGACAGGTCATTAGTGGATAATGTTCCACTTAATTAAATAGCTTCCAGTGTTGTAGCTGTTACTGGAACAGTTTGGCTAGGGTGCAGTTAGTTGTGGGGTACAAGTCTTCAGCACTACAATGGGAATGTTATCAGGACCCATATCCTTCACCCTATCTAGTCATTCAGCTATTTCTCAATATCATGTGGAGTGAGTCAAAACAGCTGAAGATTGACACCTGTGGTACAGGTGATTTCAGGTGGAAGCCAAGATAGATCACCCGCTTAGTAATTCTGGGTAAAGGTGTTTGCCGCTCATTCAACGTTTCATTTCATTTACATGCTGTTCACTGCTAATTTTCAAGATGGGAATGTTCAAAGATCCTCTTCCGGTTATTTAATTAATGGTCCATCACCATTGAAGACTATATGCAGCAGGACTGTAGAGCTTAGATCTGATCCATTGAATTGTAGAATCACTTAGCTCTTTAACATGCTGCTTCTGTTTTTGTTTTAAAGTGTGTTTCTGGTTTGTCTAATAACCTCTCCAGCCTGGTATTTCAATTTTAGATATCACTGCTACTGCTCTTGATATGCTCTCCTACATTCTTAGCTGAGCAACCAACCTGGGTTCAGTTGTGTGTAAATAGTAGAGTAAGGAATATATGGGACTATGAGGCTACAGATTGTGGCAAGGCACAATTCTACTACTGATGGCCGACAGAGCCTCATGAATGCTCTAAACCCATGTGATGGTGACCCTAAAAGTGAAGATAGGATTTTACTTCCACAGGTCATGTTATTATGCAGAGATAGATCTGTGATTCTCAGAGGTGATGACAAGACAAAATCAGCTGGCCTGTTTTGTTAGTTCCCTGCCACAGGCCCAATCTGTCATAAGCTCTACAGGGCTCAATCAGCTTGGTCAGTCTTGGTGATAGACATTGAATTCTTTGACTTAGATTATATTCAGTGTCTTTGTTACCTTCAGTGAAGTTTCGAATCAGGGAGGGCATAGGTGGTAGTCAGCAAGTCTGGTTGCTGATATTTAATTCATGCCATAATGGGTTCTGGAGTCAATGCATCTGGATCCCTTGCTAGGCAGTTCGGAGAATAATTAAAAATCAGCAGTATGCTGTCTCAATGTGACAGGCTAGCTAAGGGTGGCAGATTTCCTTTCCTAAAGGGCATCATTGACCAGTTGAATTTCTATAAGAATTGATGATTGTTTCATGGCCGCCGTCACTGCAACCAGCTTTTTATTCCAGATTTTGTTAATGAACTTAAATTCCACAAACTGCTATGAAGGGATTTGAACTTGTTTCTTTGGAGCATTAGTTCAGACCTCTGGATTGCTAGTCTAGTAATTTTCTGAGTTCTGAGGACGGGTCAACGGACCCGAAACGTTAACTCAGATTTTTTCTTCACTGATGCTGCCAGACCTGCTGAGCTTTTCCTGTAACTTCTGTTTTGTTCCTGATTTACGGCAACCGCGTTCTTTCGGTGTTTAATTTTACCACATCCCTGGTATCAATTTGGAGTTAAAGTGCATTGTTCATGCTTTACTGTACCTTGAATCTAATCTTTATTGGACCCATGCAGATGGTGATCTACGATTTGGGAGTTTTTGTTCTTTGAAGAAATCCGTGCGCAGTAACTTGAGAGCAAATGCAGAAAACTGATTCATTATTGTACTAATCTGTAAATTTCAATTTTAGTTTTACAACAATATTACAAACTCTGGAACCTAAGTCCCGTGTCCATCCTTTCATATAACTAGTGAAGACAGGGTTAATTGGAACTTTCAAAAGGGAATTGGAGATGTAGCTAAAGAAGAAACTAATCACAGAGCTTTGAGGTAGGAGGCGGGGGAGTGGGAAAGGGTGGGCTAGTATGGGTACAACAGGCCAAATGGCCTATCTTTCAATCATTCCAGGATTTTTTTGAGTTCCAATATATGTTGGTTTAATAACATGTAGCGGAACGCCGACAAAATGCCTCGCTCTGCCACTCTGTCTAAAATAGTCGTACAGTTTAAATGTCGCCTTTCTAGAAATAACATTTACGGCGACACTTCAGATCTGCGCCTCTGATATCTAACAGAAACGTGCGATTTGAAAGTTCATATCACGCCCTAGAGGGGAATATTTCAGCAGAAAGAGCAATTTCAGAAAGCTCGGAGAATAGAATAAAGGTCATTAAAACGCATGGAACATCTTTTGTCTTTAATTGTGTTCCGCGGAGTTTTAAAAGTATCCATTCCGTATGCGTGTGTGTGTGTGTGTAAAATACTCGGACTGTCACGGAAAATTGCAGCCTAGCCAGGAAGAAAGATCTCAGCTTCACCCTTCAGCTAAGAGAGTTATCCTAATGCTCATACTTAACAGTGTCTCACACAGAGACATTTTTAAAACAAGAGTAGATCAGAACCCGCCTCTGATTTCATTGAAAGCAATTTGCGTCTATATAGCGCTTTTATTTTGTCCACTTTCACATTCCACAGCGCCAAGTACAGATCACCAGACAGGTATATACCAGACCTTGAGGGCATCGTTCTATTTCCAAATCCATCTTGACAAAGCTGTAACTTTAAGCCTGACTAATAACTTTCTGGCTTTGGAAGTGGAGGGGGTTATGGAGGGTGATGAATGAGAGGCGATATCCGTCCTTCCTGCCCCGGGCACTCAGTCCGGGTTTGTGACTCTGGATGCCAAAGTGGCCCCGGGTGAAGTTGCCTCTATCCACGGCAGAACTCTGTTTGTTCCCTGCACCCCTCGATATAAATAAAGAGCGGGGCCCGCTGACCTGTGGATTGAGGCGAGTGCACATGGGGAGCCCTGACAGGATACGTGTGTATGTGTATGTGTGTGTGTATATGTATGTGTGTGTATGTGTATGTGTGTGTGTGTATGTGTGTGAGAGAGAGAGCGAGAGAGAGCAGCTCTGTGGCCGGAGGCAGCAATAAGGTGGCTGCAGTTTACGCTCCCCCCCCCCCCCCCCCCCCCCCCCCCCCGGATGGTGGCCTCTCTCCAGAGAGACAGAGAGCGGGATGCTGACACGCTGTGATAGATGAGCATTGGACAACACGGCGTAAGCAGATCCACCCCCTCTCTTCACACACACACACACACACAGACACGGTGTGCCCTGCACTATGACTGTCGGTGTGCTCCTGGCTTGAGGATTAAAGTGAGGACTGTAATGGCGTTGAGGAGCTTGTCTGTGCCCTGCTGCTGTTGCTGTGTCCTGGGCTTCCTCCTGCTCGCACTCGGGGGTGAGTAGTCTCGGCTTTCCGCAAAGTTGCATTCTCTGCTTTATTTCCCCATCTTCCCCCGTCCTCCAAACACACACACACACACACAAAAACCCTCTTTTGTCTGCAGCCGCAATTTCGCCCAGTGACCTAAGGGGGCAAGTTGGCGGAACGAGGCTGAAGTGGAGAAGGGTCGGATCCCAAGAGCGTTTCTACCACCGCCCCCCCCCCCCCCCCTTGCTCCAGCGAGGAGAAGCGAAATGTTTGTTACCGCCTCTCTCTCTTTTACCCCCCCCCCCTCGTGTTTGACAGATGGAGGGTACCCGTCCGACACCATCTGCTGCTGGTTTTAAGATGGAGATACACGCACCGACACTACACACTCTCAGACCCATGGGACCATGGCTCTCCTTCCCGCTGGAATCACACCACTCCCCAACACCCCTCGAGGGCTAGGATCAAGGAAAGGGGCCGAGCGGCCCCGTAAGCAGCGCCTGCAGACTCGGGAGTGGGCTGGGTGATTTTTTTTAACTTGGGAGGGAGGATCCCAAAGGGATTCAGGGGAGAAAAAAACAACCCATACAATTTGCTGTGGAATGGGCAGCATCCCCTCGGGGGGGTCAGTGAAACCCACCAGAAAGTCTTTGTTTACTCGCTGGTGGTTGTTGGACCCAGGGAGAGCTCAGTTTCTGCTTCGATCTGGTACAAAAATGTAGGGTTGAGTAGGCGCCTGTGATTGGAGCTGGGCGGAAAGTTGTTTAATGTGGAGGGAGGGTTTTTTTTGGCTCAGGATGTGGCTGCGGTGGGAGAGGCAGCGTGTGTGTGTAAACAAGGAGGCAGCTCCTCGCCCCTCAGCGTGGCTAAACACAGCAAGCAGCCGCTATAAGGGGCTTGTATTCGGAATGAGAACATAGTCTGTCTCCCACCACACACCCCCTTGCAATACCCCCCCTCCCCCCTTCACCTCTTCTGCCAAATTGTACCGGAATAGCTTTGTTTCACATTTTCTTTTTCCCAAAAAAAATCTGAACACACAGTTCATTCCAACAGTAACGCCCCCTTCAACCTGCTTTTAAGTTTTTTTATGTTAAAAAAATGTAAAGTTGTTATGGATACATGTTTAGTTTAAATCCTCGGTTCAGCAACAGCAACATTAGAAGTCTTGCCATTTCTGCATCTTGGTTGAACTTATTTCATTCAGAGAAAGCAAGAACTGCAGATGCTAAAAAATCAACTTCATTTGCCCCGGGTTGGACTGGTTTTCTGGTCCCGGGCTGCTCCACACTCTGTGGCCGTTTGCAGAAGTTGAAGGAGGTCCCGAAGGATTTAGAATCGGGAGCTGGAGGCGGGGAGGAATTCATCAGGAGATGGGGGGAAGGGGGCGGGATGGCGTGGTGGTAGGAGATGGGGTCAGGAATACGGGAGGGGGAGGTGGGGGTCAGGAATACGGGAGGGGGAGG